AGCTAAGGGACGGCTGTACTGGTAAATCCCGAGGCTGATGAAAACAAGTGCTTCCCTGTGTGTTTAACCCACCCACGTGCATGTCCACTAAGCTACCAGGCGTTCCTCCTTTTTCTTTTTCTCTGAGCCCAGAGCCCAATCGGTAAAATAGAGCGGAACTACTCCAGCTGCGTCAGGGTGAGGACCCTCAGAACTCACTCAAATGAAATTCACTGCATTCAACGCCAAACTGGAAACGAAGGTGCCGTTGACTATTCTGCTTCTGCTCCAGTCCTGCCCGCCCCCCAACACCTGCCTCAGCACCTGGAGGCTCCCATATTTAACAGCGGGCCCAGCTCAGGCCTCTGAAGGAAACCCACATGGCGCCCTGAGCCTGCACACCAGAGGCCTGAACTCCTAATGGCCAGGCCCAGGCCGCCCTGGTCAGCGCATTTTCAGAGCTCCTGCCATCAACCTGTGCTTTGCGTACACCATGACCTCACTGGAGATAAACATCACCACGTCGTTTTACAGACGGGAAACTGAGGCTTGGAGAGAGTCCTGCGCAAGGTCAGACAGCCTATCTGCAACAGCCGGGTGGCTCCCGACTTCGACCCTGTGAATGAATGAACTCCATGCTACTGTCTCGGGGCCAGCCCTGCCTCAGAAGTCCAGGTGCTGGGACACATACCCCAGCACCCCTCCCCCTCAGCCCTGGGTACCACGGGCCCACTGGACGTGTCCCTGGGCCCAGGCCCCGCTGGTCTGAGCGGACAGCCTACTCTATGCCGTGGGGGGCTCTTGGGCTTTCTCTCCTCTCTCCCTGATACGCTCAGGCTGTCACAACATGAAGCGTGGCCAGCTCCCCTTGTCACTCCCGCCACCTCCTGGGAGTACCTGTGACTGTGATGATCAGGGGTTGTTGGACCTTCTGACCTGGGAAGAGTTTCTTGGGGTAATCTTAGTGGGAGCTGAGACAGAAACCCTGTTTTGGTCTGGGGTCGCCCCGCTCTGTCCTGAGCTGACAGTAAGACAGGGGAGGCGGTGGGAGCGTGAGCTGAAGGATATCCTGGCTCCTGAGGCGAGAACTCGTGGAAGCTTAGCTGCAAGGGCAGGTGGCTCCACCCACGGGGAGGGTCTGGGTTTCATTAGTGAGAACTCACGCCTCCTGAATTCTGGCTTTCTGTCCTCAGCTCTCCTCCTACAGCAGTGGTTCTCAACCTTGGCTGCTCATTAGAATCACCTGGGAATCTTTTTAAAATCCTGATTTCTGGGCCTCATCCTCCGGAAATTCTGTTTCTTTGTTACTAATGTTGTGGCCTCACCCCATAACAAAGAAACAGAATTTCCGGAGGATGAGGCCCAGAAATCAGGATTTTAAAAAGATTCCCAGGTGATTCTAATGTGCAGCCAAGGTTGAGAATCACTGTCCTACAGCCTCACAGCAGCCCAGGTCCAGGGAAAATTCTTAGGAAGGAGTGGACGTGTCAAACCTGAGCCTCCTGGGTGGGAGGGAGAAACCTGAGGTGCAGGCCCTGGCTCTGCCCAACTTACTGCCCTTCAATGGGCCTTCGTTTCCTGACACCCGAGGCTCCTTCCCTGGCCCCCACTCCTCAGCCCCACCTGGGCCTCAACTATTGTCTCTCCCCTCCACCCCCCCAGCAGGGGCTTTGAGGATGAAGATTTTTTAAGAAATTCTCTCCCAGCAGGTGGCTGGATCCCATCAGCTTGGCCCTGCTCTCCTGGACAATGGAGCCGGTCTATAACCAGGCGAGAAGTTTTCGGATAACAAAAGCAGTGTCACAGACGACTACTGGACCTGGGAACAAAGGACTGGATCTGGGAAAAAGCGCGGGCAGGGTGGGGCAGCCGAAGGAAACAGCTGGACACGGCAGCGATGAGGTGCCCACACAGGTATTGTGTCAGGTAATCCTCCAACCCTCAGTGCCCGACCCTATCCCCTTTACACAGGAAGGGACTTCTCAGAGTCATACTGCTTGTCAGTGGAAGAGCAGAATTTGCCCAGAGTGTGGAGTGGAGCAGAGCACCCAGAGGCACGATGCTCGCGCCCCTCCCCCACACCTGGCCCCACGCATCTCCCCCATCTGGCTGTTCCCGTTACAGCCTTTACAATAAACCAGTGACCTAGGGAGTAAAAGGTCTTCCTGAGCTCTGTGAAACGCTCTAGTAAATAAACTGAACCCCCCGGCGGGGGTGGGGGCGAGTGGGAACCTCCGATTTACAGCATGGTGGTCAGAAGCATAGGTGACTGACAGCCTGGGTCCCTGCTGGCATCTGAAGTAGGCGGGTGGGGGCGGGGCAGTCTGAGAGACTGAGCCCTTCACCTTGGGGAACCCACACTCTGGTATCAGAAGGGAGGCACAGAGGGCAGAGGGGACACGGGAGGCAGGAGGCGTCCTCAGCACCATGACACCCAGGCTCCGAGGTGCGTGCTTCCGCCTCACCATGTTGCTTCTTTGGATGTGGATGGGAAGGAATGGTGTCCTCATCCCAGCCCCTCATGCCAGGCACTGTACGCCAAGTGCTCTATAAACATTGCAAGTTTAATCTTCACAACCCCCTGAGGAAGTAGGTTAATTATCCCTGGCCACAGGTGGCAGGGCAGAGGCTGAATATAAGCTCTCGCTGCCCCCAAACAAATGCTTTCTTCACTACTACACACTGCCCCCCACCGGGAGGGAAGGGCCAGTGAGCTGGCAGCCAGGCCTCCGTGGCAGCTGGTGGGGGAGAGGCTGCCTGTGCTGAACTGCCAAGAGCTGGAAGGCTGGATCAGTGTGGCACAGCCTCACCATGGAGTCCCATCCCGCAGAGAGAGGAACTGACCACGGAGACACAGCGTGGAGGGGAAGAAATTGCGTGCAGTGCATGCACGATGAAGTTCAAAAGCCGGCAAAACTGCCGTTGTTAAAGATTCCTGGCGCCACATGTGAAACCTCAGCTGCCCATCTCAGACCTGTGCAAGCACTGTCCACAGGCTGTGCCTCAGGTGAAGGACCCGCATAGCTCTCAGTGGGCGCTGGCCCCCTCCACTGCCGCTCACCGCATGCAGAAGCAGACCTGCCACGGCCAATGGACCCAGACGGGCACCCGCTACTCAGGATGCAAGTGTGAGACCAGGCCACTCACACTGTGACCCCCCTCCCCGCAACAAAGACACCCCTTCACCCCGGCAGAGGAGGTCTGGGTTCTGAATCGGAGCTCCTGCCTGACACCAGTAAGTTATTCCTCATAAGAGGTCACAGGTTTCTTATGTGAAAACGATAACAGGTGGATTAACTGATTTCCTTGTGATTCTAGGGTGAACTTAATAAAGTAACTAGATTTTTATTTAATGTAAGCAGCTGCTTTGAAAGAGTTAGTTGTCTGACTCAATTGAAACCTTTTTCTTGTGTTTTGACCCTCAAGGTGTCCAGATGTACAGTTAAAAAAGGGCTGAACTCACATCCCGGGGCAGGTGAGGCAGTTCAGGTCAGAACCTTAAACTCAGCTCCTTTCACCACGAGGCCCAAGGCTCTTGGGTGGCAGCGTTTAACGAGCACTTGTTCATTTGGCGCCTACAAGGTCTCAGGCCCTGCTCTGATCACTCCACACGTCATGGGTGAGCAGCTGTCCCACCACACACCCCAAGTTCGCAGCAGAAAATCCACACACTGGAGCCACTTCAAGGCGGGAAAGCCTCTGTAAGTACCTCTTCTGTGTACGACTTATGGGAAGCATGCTCAAAACATGTCCTTTATTTACAAAACAAAACAAAACAAAAACCACACAATAAACTGCCCCAGGGCTTAAACTGGGTCGCACAGCTGCAGCGTATCAGGACAATAAATGTCTGCTCACTTTAAGTACCACAACTCCCCACTTCCCACTCCAATTCTGGCAGCAGCAACAGCAGTGACAGAAGTAATACCCACAATACTAACATGGGGGTCGATATGTGTCAGGCAGTCTGCTAAACGTTTTACATTCTAGTCAATGAAATGTAAAAATAACCCCGTAGCACCCCCACTTTGCAGATAAGGAAGCGAAGCACAGAAGAATGAAGTCCCGGGGCCCCTCAGCAGAACCAGTGCTCATGCCCAGCCGTGGGTCCCAGGCTTCAGCAACGTAAGGTCTCTAGCCAAGTGCAGGACCATGCCCGTGGCCACTGAGTCACCCACACCCGGGAAGCCTCCATCCTCACTCGAAGCTAACGCTGCACATTTCCAATACAAGCCGCATGTATTTTTTGCTCGTTGCTTTAACTGCCTGCTTAGGAACTTTTGCTAGCAACTCCCTCCCACCCACTGTCTGCAGAAGTACCAAGTGCACCCAAGTCTTCCAGGTTGTGGGGCCTTTCCCTGTGAGCCCCCTACCTTCTGGTTTCCTTTCTAGCCCCTTCCCCACCTGCACCCCAGGCCTTGGGAATGTTGCAGGGTCTTCCCAGCACACGCTGAGCTCTCATGCCCAGGTGCCCTGTGTGTACTGCTACCTCTGTCTTGTGACCTCCTCATCCTTCAAATGCCTTCACCTGTCGAAGCCTCCCTGGCAATCCAGATGGGCAGTTACTTGTTTCCCTTCCTGTGCTCACACCAGGACAGCGTAATTGGCAGCTTATGATTCCTCTATTCGCTTCTTATATATTCTGCCTACCAGGTTCTTACACTTGGTCGATGTTGAGTAAAAGTTTGTTAGGCATAAGTCATCGAATTAAAGAATAACTGGCTGCTCGCTCCCTCCCACCTCTGCCGAGTTTGGATCTGGAACCTGGAATCAGGTGACCACGGTGACAGGCCTGGACATAGACTCTGGGGACACATCGGTGCAGGTCTGTACCTCACCAACGGTGAGAGATGTCAACGCCATTCACCTCCCTTTAAACCTACAGTCAGGCAGTTCCTGTGAGCCACGTAACGTCAGCTCAGTGCAGGCGGGAAGGAGGGCGCCCGAGAGCCAGAGCTGTGGGTGCCTCGGGGAACAGGAGAGAAACTCAGCGCAGCCCAGCTGGGCAGAGCGCTGCTTACCTCCTTCCTGGGAATTCATGATGTTGAGGGCGAACAGCATGGCGTTGGAGAACGTGGTCGCCTCCTCCTTACTGGCGAAGTTCAAGCCATAGACCTGGCGGGCGTCTCGCCACTGGTGGAAGGTTGGTGTCGCCTGATTGTACTTCAGCCCTTTCACGATTGAATAATTGATCACAACCTGGAGGAAAAAGAGCGACAAATACATGTAAATAAATAAAAGGTAAGTGAGCTGGAGGGAGCGGCTATGGGGCAAGGATAGTGTGTCCCCAGGGGCTACCAGAGGACAGGAAGGTTGGAGGGGGGTCATAAGAAGGGGAGAGCATGCCCAGGCAGCTTTCCCACAGGATCCCTGGTCACGTCCGTTAACTGTAATGCTGTGCAGTCACAGCCTCCAGAGGAGAGCCCTGAGCTGGGAGTCAGGTTCCTTGGGTCCTCCCAGCTGTGTCGCCCACAGTGGTCACTGCACCTCCCTGGGGCTCAGTTTCTCCAGTTATAAAAGGGGGATGATAATCCTGGCTGTACTGCCCTAATGGATTACTGCAGAGGTCCCACTGTGATGCATAGCTTATTTAGACTTATAGACACGGAGATCCGAAGGGCAAGAGTCTTTTCAAATTCCTCCTTATGCCTTCCAGGGCCCTCTGCATAAAGTCTAGTACTTGGACTGCATTAATAAATGGGTACCGTAGTTAAAAGGATCACTTGGAAAGTTAAAATGTGCCAACCAATGTAGAGCATTATTAATATCTTTATTATTAATCAAGAAATATCAACTGACTGCCAGCTCAATGCCAGGCCCACCAGGAAAAGCTACAGAGAAGAGCAGCTAGAACCAGACATTCAGGTGCTCACAAGCAGGCAGGGGATTCCACACCAGGCCCGCCTGACCTCTAACCTTTCTCCTTCAGACACGTAACAAATTATTTAGCTTGAGGGGCTTATGAAGGGGTGGGAGGCCTGGAGCCATTATTCTGCATCCCTGATCCCTCTGCTTAGGTGACTGAGTTTCTGACCATTATCACCATGAGTTACTTTCACCTGTTCTTGAACTATATAGACGTGGATTCTTATGGTATATACTCTTGTTTCTTTCACTCAACATAATGTCTATGAGATTCATCCATGTTATTACATTTACAAGTATTTAATTCTTATTTATTGTTACATAATATTTCACCTTATCTTTTAGGAAGAGGAAGAGAAACATCAATTAGTAAGATTTCATCTTTTTAAAAAAAATCCTCACACAAGGATATGTTTTTCATTGATCCTAGAGAGAGAGGAAGGGGGGGGGGAGGGAGAGAGAGAGAGAGAAAGAGAAACATTGATGTGGGAGAGCAACATCAATAGGTTGCCTCACATACACACCCCAATGGTGGTAGAATCCACAACCTGGATATATTTCCTGACTGGGAATCAACCATGTGACCCTTTGGTGCTCAGGAGCTCTAACCACTGAGCAACAGCAGCCAGGGCACATTTCATCTTTTGATATACCATAAATAACTAATCCATTGTCCTGTTCATAGACATTTGTGCAGTTTCTAGCTGTTGGTTATTAATAAAACTATGAGTATTTTCAGACATGTATTTTAGTGGATGCAGGTGTGTACTGAGTTGATACCGTCTGTCTAACTATTTTTCGGAAGGCTTTATCAATTTATGCTTCCCAAAAACTCTTCTCACATCAGCATCATGGTGGAGTGAGAAGAACCCTTTGTATCTCCCCTTAAATTTCCATGTCAGATATCTATTATCCAACAAAGATTCCTCTGCTCAGCACAAAAACATGCCTGAGAGATCCACGCATCAGTACACCTGAGGGTGGACAAACTGGAACCTGCAGGGGATGCGTGACAGAAGGAAGGGCAGGGACAGTGTCTGCAGGTGTAGTTCAGCAGCTGCCAAGGCCCCAGCTAACACAGTAGCAGTGGAGGAGTCAGGGGGTGGCCCCCACACTATGGCCCAGAGGAAGGTAAGCAGGGCAGAAGCAGGGTTGGTGCCCATGAAGCCAGCTCCCTCTCCCTCTTCTCCCCCCACTGCTGGGGAACACAGTAGCAGCAGCAGTGGTTATGGAGATGCCTCTAACAGCACAGTGGTGCCTGGGGCTACAAGGCCACTAGTACAGGAGTCAGTGCTGCTGCTCCAGAACCTGGCTCCCCCATACCTGCCACAGTGGTCGTGCCCTGAGACTGAGGCAACCTGGACACAGTGGGGACACCCACCACCCCCGTCACCCAGGAGTCAATTTCCACAACACTAACACCCCCTGTGGCAACCCAGGAGGTGCAAGTAGTGCTGGTAAGAGAAAACAAAACTTGCTCTACAGCACCATCTACTGGGAAACAAAAGGAAGATCTCTAATTATCAATCTGCTGAATTAAGATCAAACGGTATCTGAACAAGAAGAGTCTGTCCCAAGTGTACAGAAAATGACAAGTCTCCAGAAACCAACCTCAAAGTCATGGAAGACTGAGATGTAAATGACAGAATTCAAGACGCAGTAATGAAGAAACTCAACGAGATACAAGAAAACTCAGAAAGGCAGTTCAATGAGCTCAGGAATGAAATTAATGAAAGGAGTACTTTACCAAAGAGATTGAAACTATAAAAAAAAAACCCAAACAGAAATTCTGAAACTGAAGAACTCAATAAATGAGATGAAGACCGCATTAGGGAGCACTGGAAATAGAGCAGGCAAGATGGAAGAGAGAATTCATGAGCGCGAAGACAGAAATCTGGAAATGATTCAGGTGGAATAAGAGAGAAAACTAAGAGTTAAAAAAGTGAAAGAACTCTATAAGAACGATCTGACTCCATTAGAAAAATGGGTACCCCAGAAGGACAGAACAGAGAGCCCATTCAAAGAAATAATTGATGAGAACTTCCCAAACCTACGTAAGGAATTGGGTATTTGAGTATGAGATGCTAATAGCTAATTATCTCAACACAAAAACTCCTTCTCTAAGACACATTATAAATTGTCAAAAGTTAATGGTAAAGAAAGAATTCTCAAGGCAGCCAGGGAAAAAAATGACAGCAACCTACAAAGGAAACCCCATTGGATTATTATCAGATTTCTCAGCAGAAATCCTGTAGGCCAGAAGAGAGTGGAGTGATATATTATAAACTAGAGGCCCGGTGCATGAATTCATGCACGGGTTGGGTCTGGCCTGCTCTCCCCAATCGGCCCAATTGAGCTGGGACGGCCAGGGGAAGGGGCCTCGGGTGGTTGGCCGACTGGCCCTGCCTCCTGGTTGAACTCCCAGTTGAGGGGACAATTTGCATATTAGCCTTGTATTATATAGGATACTGAAAGAGAGAAACCATCAGCCAAGAGTACTATATCCAGCAGAGTTATCCTTTAGGTGTGAAGAAGAAATAAAGGCTTTCCCATATCAACAAAAGCTGAGGGAATTTACCACAAGATCTTCATTACAAGATATATTGAAAGATGCTCTTCTACCTGAAGCAAAAACACAAATGTATACAAAACTTTGAGTAAGGTGACAGACAGAATCACGATATAAAGGTTAAAGGGAAAGTAAGCATTAAAAATAATAGTACAATATGGTGATAATTCTTGTATCATTATTCCCATGGAGTTATTGGGAGACTGAAATAATTGACATGAAAAGTGCTCTATAAGATATACTAGTAAGGAGATTAAACATGTAAGATATCCCTATTTGGTAAAATACCAGGAATCTGTATCCCTTAAAATGTCCAACCTTGTACTCCACACTGACTGGGAAACAGACCTGTGAAAATTAGTCTTTACTCTTGAGGTCCATAAAATCACTGTGAACCAGGTTTCCTGCCACTCTCACAATGCCTCGGCTTATTAAGAACCTCTTTTATGTTCCTACTAGAGGCTCGATGCATGAATTTGTGCACCAGTGGGGTCCCTCGGCCTGGCCTGTGGGATCAGGCTGAAACTGGCTCTCCAACATCCTTTGAGCGGTCCTGGATTGCGAGAGGGTGCAGGCCAGGCTGAGGGACCCCACTGGTGCACGATCGGGGCCGGGGAGGAACTTGGGAGGTTGGCCAGCCAGGGAGGGACAGCGGGAGGGTTCCAGGGCATGTCTAGCCCATCTCACTCAGTCCTGATGGGCCGGACTCCAGCAGCAAGCTAACCTACTGGTCAGGGCTTCTGCCCCCTGGTGGTTAGTGCATGTCATAGTGACTGGTCGACTGTCTGCCCCCTGGTGGTCAGTGCATGTCATAGTGACTGGTTGACTGCCCCCTGGTGGTCAGTGCACATCATAGCAAGCGGTTGAGCGGCCTTAGCATATCATTAGCATATTATGCTTTGATTGGTTGTATGGCTGACCGGTTGACCGGACACTTAGCATATTAGGCTTTTATTATATAGGACTACAGGCCCAATGCATGAAATTTGTGCAAGGGGCTTGGCCCCTGCTGCTGCGGAGGCTGTCTCTGCCTCAGCCACTGCCCACCTCAGCGGCCAGGGGCCTCTGCCTCGGCCCCGCTGCTGTGGCTTCGTCCGGAAGGATGTCTGGTCTAATTAGCATATTATGCTTTTATTATTATAGATTGCATGTTTATGAACATGCAATTCCAAGCACAGGGCTGTGCTGGTAACTTCTCTGCCAGACTCTAGGTCTCCAGGTTAGAGTCACCACAGCCTCTCTGCATGCACCCAGGAGTCACTGAGGGCTGCTGCCAGAGTCTCCTGCACGGGAAGTCCTCCTCCCAAAAGAGCCCCGTCATGTGGTTTCCTCTGCAGGAGGCAGCGAGGTGTGGAGCCTCCTGAGAACAAGGTGCACATTAGTTTCCGGGAATCCTGTTCTCCAGGCCCGTGCCCCCTCCAGCACACCTTCCATCTACCCAGAGTACCCTGAAGGCAACCAAGAGGCATGAAGGGAGTGGAAAACTGGTCATAATGAAAGCAATCCCTTAGGGACACCCACTATGATTCGGAAACTGCACTGGGTAATGGGCCTTATGTCAAAGGAGAGTACCAGAGTGGTATGCCCACGTCATCCCCCACCCATGGGTATGTTATGAAAATGGGTAAGATGTTTTGGCTGCCACCATAATGGGGACTCAGGATGCTATATATCCTTCAATGTACGGTGCGGTGTACCTCTAATAGGCAGAGCTAGAACCGATGACCTGGAAGAACAGGGAAGCAGCTTCCAGGAGGTTTTGAGAGAAACCTTCCTATCAGTAAGCTTGTCAATGAGGGAAAGGGATGCCTCTGAAGGTACCGAGTTCCAGGTTAGAGAGACTACCTTTAGGCAGGAGTCCTGAAGTGGGGATGTCCCTTTTAGCCACAAGAATCTGAAACTTAACAGGGCTATTTTGGCCAAAGCAGAAACACAGTCAACTGGCAGCCACTAAAAATAGTCTTAAGTTTCTGTTCTCTCTTTTCGTTTCTTTTCTTTTTTTTTAAATCCTCACCCAATAATATTTTTCCCATTGATTTTTAGAGAGAGAGATAAGAAGGAGTGGGGGCAGGAGGGGGAGAGAGAGGGAGGGAGAGAGAGAATGAGAGGGAGAGAATGAGAGAGACATTGGTTGTTTCCCACACGTGCCCGGACCGGGCTGGGGATTGAACCTGCAACCCAGGTCTGTGCCCTTGACCAGGAATCGAACCTGTGACCTTTCCGTGTGTAGGCTGACACTCTAACCACTAAGGCACACCAGCCAGAGCTGTCCTCTTTGTTCTAATTGCTAAGGTGCTGATTCTTGCAGATAGCAGCTAACCTGCTGCTCAATTTAGCCAAGGCCTGACCAACAAAGGATGCCAGAGATGCTATTTAGGTCGAGTTTTTCACAAATGCTGAAACCACAGGTCTGTTGATTTCACTGCTAAATGTGACCCTGTCAATCTCTAAGAGAGGGGTGAGCACTGAAGCACTAACCAGAGTCCCCGTGGTTAGGCCACACAAGCCCTTTCTCCACGCCTCTATTCTGGTCCCTGTCACATTAGCCAGTGGTCGGCAAATTGCGGCTTGGCAAACCGCGGCTCGCGAGCCACATGCGGCTCTTTGGCCCCTTGAGTGTGGCTCTTCCACAAAATACCGGCTCTTCCACAAAATACTGACTTCTGAGCATGGGCCACGAAGTTTCAATTGCACTGTACGTGCGCGCTCGCACGTGGTATTTTGTGGAAGAGCCACACTGAAGGGGCCAAAGAGCCGCATGTGGCTCGTGAGCTGCGGTTTGCCGACCACGGCATTAGACTGATCCGTCTTAGTTATGTGTGCACAACTGTTCCTGACATAGGTGGACTTACCCTCTATTTGTGGAGTTACTTACCAGGTTCACTCACAAACTACCTTATCTGATTTGTCCAGGATGTACTATTAGGAAGAGAAATGCTCCCAGATTCTTCAAATTAACTTGCTGTTCCTTCCAAAGTAAGACTTAGGGCAAGCATGTCGAACTCGTGGCCTGTGGGCCGCATGTGGCCCACAACAAATATTTTTGCAGCCCAGCCAATATAACGGTATGTAAGAAACGTTTTAATAAAAATTTCATAACTTAATTTTTACAATATCCTGTTATACATAATTATTAATAATGAACCACAATGTTCGCTAATGACTGATTACTATAATCGTGTTGCATCCATTTCCCTTACGCGCCTTATGCGCAGGCGTACCACTTCTCTCAACTAATATTAGCAGCGAATACTTTAGCAGCCCATTGCCACATCATTAGTCTTGTACTGACTTGTTTGGTGTGCGCAACAGGAAATATTTCGCTTTCAGAGAACAAGAAAAATAGGTTTATTTGCATTATGCTTATTAACTTGTGCAGTTATTCAGTGCCTGGTAAGTTATGTTCAAAAAATATTAATTTTTATTAAAATGTTCTATTATGTTATGTTAACGATTACTCATTTATTTCAGCCCTTTGTATTCAGCATGTCTCTATTGAAATAAACCTACGTTTCTATGAAAATTGAAGCTTTTGACTTAGGGCCGTGGCCGGCAAACTGCGGCTCGCAAGCCACATGCAGCTCTTTGACCCCTTGAGTGTGGCTCTTCCACAAAATACCATGTGCGGGCGCACGTACAGTGCAATTGAAACTTCGTGGCCCATGCGCAGAAGTCGGTTTTCGGCCTGGGCGAGTCTATTTTGAAGAAGTACTGTTGATATTTGGCTCTGTTGACTAATGAGTTTGCCGACCACTGACTTAGGGGGTTGATGAACAAAAAAATTTTTATTGTCATATTACTCATGGATATGTAGGCATAGAATAAAACTAATATATTTGTACAATATATTTTTCAAAGCTGTTTCACATCTATTATTTTATTCTAATGTTACATTAACACACAGAATTATGCGGGATGTGGGTTACTGTCTCTATGAGACAGATGTGAAAAATGGTGTTCAGAAAATATAGTTTGCTCAAGATCTCATAGGAGAATGTGGGGTCAGAATCTGAACCCAGATCTTCTGACTCCAAACCTGACCTTGTTTTTTGGACCTCTTTCACTATACCGTGTGTACGTGCGTGTTTATGCGTGCACGTGTGGGTGCGCATGCGCGGCACAGGCTGGGGTGTCACCGGGGGCTCCGGCACTCACCTGCTGATCCTGCAGCTTCACTCCGACGACTCTGAAGGTGCTGCTGGCAGTGTTGTGGTAGATGTTGATCCGGCTGAAACCCTGCTGGCCGGGTTTGATGGGTACCCATTTCTTACTGGTGTCATCGTAGACCATCACGGAAGCCCGGGCTTGGCAGATACTCTGTTCACTGCAGAGCAAGAGAAAACTTCAGTGTCAGGGGCAGCCACGAGGGATGGAAGCTGGCTTTGCCCTTTTATGAGCCAGAGGCCACCTGCTATTGCCGCAGAGAAACCTCCTAACTGCCAGAGCTCCCCGCAGTCTGTGGGAGGGCTGCTCCGGGAGGTGGACAGTCATTCTCCAGAGACCCGGGGCTGGAGAGGAGTGTGCTGTGCCAACACTCTCAATAGCGCAGAAAAGACGCACAGCTTTCCTTTTAGGGGAAAAGGCGCTTGAATGTGGAAGGAATGACAATTGGCCAACTGTCTCCAGTCCTCCAGGCACTGTGTAAAATAAGGTAACGCTGGGCTTCACAACCTGTGAAGTAGCCACAATCACCCCACTTTGTAGATGAAACAATAGAGGCTTAGAGACTTGGGAAAACTGATACCAATTCACACAGGAGTTCAGTGATTACATTTGGGATTTCCAACCAGTTCTGTTCGACTGTGGAGCACACGACAAAGACCATCTTCTTCACAACAGCCAACGAAACGCTCTGTTTGTGATATTGTGACAGGGCACCATCACACAAGCTCCGTAGACAACAGAACACGAAGGGGTCATGGGTTCTGAAGGGGTCATGGGTTCTGTTCCAATCAGGGGCACATACCCCTTCAGCGACCTTCTCCGAACAGAGCGAGAGCAATCCAAATAAACACCTGGCTGCACCTGCTTTGCTGTACACATTTAGTAATAAGCAACGTCATCTGTTCAGAATACGACAGGAAACCAGGGAAGAAGCAAAAGAAACCCCTGGGAGAGGAAACAGCCGTCGCTGAAACCAGGCACTCCTGCCACTGAACGCCAAGGAAGGCCGCTGCCTTTGCACACCGGCCTCCTCATCCTGAGCAGCTACTTTCTCAGTCTTCAGCGCATCAGAACCCCAGGTTAGAAAGGTAAGGCCCGGTTTTAAAGGCAGGCGTACCGACAACAGTGAGGCGTGGCCGCTATCAGAGAGGGAGGCCATATGAACACAACTGCGTTAGAATTAGAAACAGAAGTTAAAGCCCAACAATTTGAGCCCAAATAATTTATTTATTTTTTATTTTTAAAAATATATCTCTATTGATTTCAGAGAGGAAGGGAGAGGGAAAGAGAGATAGAAACATCAATGATGAGAGAGGATCATTGATTGGCTGCCTCCTGCACGTTTCCTACTGGGGATCAAGCCCACAACCTAGGCATGTGCCCTTGACCAGAATCGAACCTGGGACCCTTCAGTCCGCAGGCTGACGCTCTATCCACTGAGCCAAACCTGCTAGGGCGAGCCCAAATAATTTAGTAGGAGCAAAAGTGTGTGCACTAATGGACGGTCATCAAAATGAGCCCAAGCTGTCGGGAAAAGTGACATTATGGTCACCTTACCATATTTCTTGGAGGGAAATAAAATACTTGAAAAAGGTCCCACTCCCAGCCCCAGTGGTTACTGGATGACGAATCAGTGGCTTTTAGGAGATCGGCCCTGGGTGACTTGGAAACCCCCACCTGGCCAACGTAGTGGGTGCCTAAGTGTCCCCGAGGGCTGAGCTTCCTCAGGACCTGCTCAGCTCCCTGCTGACGTGGATGGCGGAAGATCAGTGTACAGATCATCATCATCATCATCATCACAGTGGCTCAGTGGACAGTGCAGACAAGCCTTCCCACATGTCCCCTCACTTCCTTTCCCATGAGTCCCTCGCACATTTCATGGGTCCAGCCAGCGGCATCACGTGCCAGTGCTGGGTGTCGAACCCCCTGGGAAAGCCTATGCTGGGCCTCAAACTTGCTGTCGACCCCCAGCTCTGCTCTGAGGTTTCGGGGTCCAGCCTTGATGTCAGCTGTCCACACCTCACGCTGGGGGTTCTGTCCGGGAACAGAAGTGAGTCGCAAGGGCCTTTTTGTGCAATTGTGCTGCATCTTTCCCCCACAGTTCACCATTCATTTAACAAACATTTAAGGGGAAGTCGGTGATGAGCAAAATAGGCATGGTCTTCCCAGAAGAGAGCCATGTGATACCCTCAGGGAGAGAGAAACCAGCGCTGTGCTCTGACTTCTGGCGCCTGAAACCTCACTCGATTGTATTTTTCTATTGATTTTTAAAGAGAATGGAAGGGAGGGGGAGAGACAGAGAGAGAAACATTGATGTGAGAGAGACACATCAATTGGTTGATTGTTGCCTTCAGTATGCACTCCAACTAGGGCGGGGATTGAGCCTGCAACCAAGGTACCTGCCTCTGACTGGAACAGAACCCATGACCCCTTCAGTCCGAGGGCTGATGCTCTATCCACTGAGCCAAACCAGCTAGAGCCCACGTGTCTTTTAAAAAAGAGAATATGCTTAGGCAGAGGTGCCCTCCCCCTGGCTAGCCCTTTGGGTCTTATCTTCATGAAGTCTGGTAGAAATTACACTGTACACAGAAACAGACAGACCTCGGATTAAATCAGTTTCCTTCCAATATAAACTGACCAGAATCAAGTTACGGGCTAAGCTGTGTCACTGCCATGCTCAGCCGCCCTGGACTGCCTCAGGGGCTGGGAGATCCGGAGGTGCAGCCTGGTGTCAGTGAACAAAACAAGGATGTTACTGAGCCTGAGGGATGTGGGCTGCAACCCCCGCTCCACCGCTTGCTGGCACGTGACCATAGAGGCCCTGCGGTGCTGTAGAGCTGAGTGTGACAGCCACTGTCCTCACAGGGCAGGTGTCGGGTGGCAGGGCAGCACTCTCCAGAGCCCCTGGGTGGCGGCCAAGGAAGTGCCTTTCAGAGCTCCAGGAGAGCCTGTGACAGAGCAGAGCTGACCAGTGGTCCCAGCGGCCACCTCTCTGGATGTCACCATGTCGCACAGAGGCCATGCTTCTCCAGGCTGCTCCATCAGTGCCCGACACAGGCCTCCTCGATGGGGAAACCCTGCTCGGCCTCCTCAGCAGCCTGTGCGCTGTGGTCTGAGAGGCTCCTACTCAGTCCGTCCTTCCTGCTCTCTCGCCGGCACAGATGTCGGACCTGCACCCTGGCCTGAAGCCCCCTGCCTGCTCCTGCTCCCTCCATTCTGCATTGATGTCCCCAGGGCCTTGGCCGCTGCTTCTTGGAAGATCCAAAGTGACACACCTGCTATAGTGTAGGTTCCCCGAGGGCAGGGGCAGGCCCGCCTCATTCTCTGCTGTGCCCCTGGAACCTGGCACAGACCAGGTGCCTCATAAATGCTTAGGGTAGACTCTCAGGGCTGAACAGAATCTCAGGGCTGAGAGTAGGAGCCTCTCAGACCACAGAGAGTGGACGTCCCGATCCACTCTCATGTCCAAAATGACATGCCTTCTAAGTGGCCCTAAGTGGACGCCGAGCCTGTGAATGAAAACCGCCAGCGCGGGAAACCTGCCCCCAAAGCAGGCCACCCTGCTGAGGAGTGGTCTCGGCTGGGAGGCATTCCTCCTGTTCTGGGACAATCCACGCCCTGCCCTCCAGAGTCACAAAGGTGGACAGCGCATGACAGCCCAGTAGACAACTGAAGGGACACCTTGGTTCTTCCATCCATTATTCCCAGGACATCGCGCCCTTGCCACCTGTCACTCTCCTCTAGTGAGTCCTGACTTGTCACATTTTCTCTGAGTGTCTGGGTCCTACGATTGGATATGACCATGGCATCTTAGTCTGACAAACACAGATGCCAGTGAGTCAAAAACATGTAGTGACGCAGAGCCGAGTGTGACAGCCACTGTCCTCAGAGCTCACGGCCACTCAGGGAAGCGGACAGATGATTACACCTTCCAGGGCCTGGAGGGTGGGGAGCCGGGGAGCCTCACTGCAGGCAATGCTGTGAGTGCCCCCAGATGGAGAGCTTTCAGCCCAGCGAATCAGGAAGGGGATGGAGGGTGGTGGGGAGAGCAGAGGCGGGAAGGCAGGGCCAGGGGTGCTTGGACGGAGATATAAAGAAAGTACCCACTACTGTGCTTGCCCCTAGTAGGTGCTCAAACACCAATAGTGATTTTTCTTATTGTAATTATCACCATGGGTTCCTTTTCCTGCTGCTGTTTAACACTAGGTTCAAACTGAACTTGTGGTTAACCAAAAACCCTGCTGTGGCCCCGCCTCCGTGTGAACAGTGTTTGTCTACCTGCTTATTTTATTCCCACTGACAAAACCTAAGTGCCAGGAAAGACCCACTCACTTACTCTGCTTCAGGGTTGTCTTGCTTACCATCCGTTTGGGGTTTTGTTTTAATAAAATCCTCACTGTACCCAAAGGCTTCAGAAACTCCATCTGTCTACATCACGTATCATTTGAGGAAAGTACCTTTGACAGACAAGTATTTACATCACGTATCATTTGAGGAAAGTACCTTTGACAGACAAGTATTTACATCACGTATCATTTGAGGAAAGTACCTTTGACAGACAAGTATTTACATCACGTATCATTTGAGGAAAGTACCTTTGACAGACAAGTATTTTCTTTTTAAGTATATTATTTTTGAATGACTGCACTGTTGTTGTTTTTTTAACACGAACACACAAATATCCTTTACTAAGTTTAGAAAGTCTGTCCCTGCGTCCTCCCCATGGGCCCCATACACTTTGTGCCTGTGTAGATGCGGCCTCAGCGCTCCCCATCCTGTCTGGCTCTGAGGAACCATGTGGGGCTGGAGAAAAGCTACAGCCGATACTCACAGGGCTACTTTTATGTGATCAAACAACCAGCTGAGAAGTGGGAATAATTAGTGAAAATGCAGTTGAGCTACCAGATCGATGGACCCCCTCTCCCTCCCATCCCCTCGGGACCTAACAGCTGCTCCGAGCAGTGTCACTCCCTCAGTCTAACCCTTGGGAAAGCTCAGGTTCCTGCCCCACCACCCCACTCCCTACTGACCAGGAATGAGTTTCTGAATTTGTCCCAGGCCGGCAGCCGCCAGCCCAGCCACACTCTGCCTGTGTACAGGCACCTGGACTCCCTCCCCACCCTGCGAATACCTGTCAGGGCTTTTCCAGGCATTCCCTAC